TGACTTTTAACAACACAGACCTCCTGTCACTCCCTGCCAAACATCTATCCCTCAAAAACTCTCTTCACTTTCAGGATTTTTTTTTTTTTTAAAGATGACCGGTAAGGGGATCTTAACCCTTGACTTGGTGTTGTCAGCACCACGCTCAGCCAGTGAGCGAACCGGCCATCCCTATATAAGATCCGAACCCGGGGCCTTGGTGTTATCAGCACCGCACTCTACCGAGTGAGCCACGGGCCGGCCCTCTCCTTCAGGATCTTTAATGAGACCGAGCTCCAAGAGCCAGGTCCTGGAGGAACAGGAGGAGGAGAATGGAGCGTGGAAAGGACAGACAGGAGGGGGCGGGGCCAGGCTCGTAGCCCCGCCTCCCGGTCTGGCTTGCACCCTTCCGGACTGCGGTACCTTTCTTCCCAGCGCTGGAGGAAGCTTTTCTAGTAGTACCTTCCGGCCTCGTCGACCCCTTTTCCCGTGCTGCACTGCGGCCTCTCTTTCTCTTCCGGTCCCAGGCGCTTCGCCAGCCGCGGGTTACTGTAAGTGTCGGCCGCGCGGCATCCGATACCATCCACGACTCACGGGCTGCGGTGGCGCGGCGCACGCCGCGAGGAGGGCGGAGGGGACCGCCTGTGTGGCTGTGGGGAGCGGAGGCTGTGGGGCGGGGGGTGCTGCTCCTAAGTCCTCAAGGGGTGAGTGGCAGGGGGAAGAACTCGGATTTTATGGGGAGCTCAATTTTGCGGAGATTAGGGGGTTGGTTTCAGATAACCTGGGTTTCGGAGGTGAGGACTGGCGTCGCGTCGTGCAGAGTAAGTCGACGCAGGTGGAGGCCGCTGATCCAAGGCGTCTCTGCTGCAGCCTCATTCTGCTTTCTAGCCTCACGTTCCACCACGTTAGGGCTGCAGAGGTGGCCCAGCTAGGTGAGTCCCCAGCCCTGATCTCCCCTCTCGTCCTTCAGGTGTAGACATGGCCAAGTCCAAGAACCACACCACACACAACCAATGTAAGTTTTCTTGGCCCGACCTTGTCCTTGACTCTGGCGAGGATTGCTTTAGGGATACTGGGGCGGGGGACACATTTCCACTTTGGGCCTGGATCAGATTTTGTTTTCAGTCAGTATTACCATTGGAGTTGTGGAGTTTGGGAACCAGGATTCCACTTGGGTGCTTGGCATTCAGTGGTAAGAAGTTGCCCAGATCTCAGGAATAGTTGCTGTTGGACGTATTGGTTCTCCTGTGCTTGCCAGCTATGATTTCGTTGGTCTCACTGAAGGAAGTCTTTTTTTGGTCTAATTCTTTTCATTTTCCCACAGCCCGGAAATGGCACAGAAATGGCATTAAGAAACCTCGATCACAAAGATATGAATCTCTTAAGGGGGTAAGTATGTACACTGAATCACATACAAGTGTCCCTTCTTAGCTACAGGTATACAGTCACAGTCTTTCATGTAGCTTTTTTCCCAGCTTTACAGTGCCTAAGCATAGTTAATTGTCCCTCGTCTTATCTGGCCTACCAAAGCCCACAATTCCTTTCTCTACCCTGCTAGACCTAAAGCTTTCCTTGGTCTTCCTCAGCCAGGGGTATAACCCTCTGGTCGAATGAAGCCTACCTCCTGAGGGCAGTTTGGCCGTCTCCCTTGCTTAGCCACAAGAGTGAAAGAGTGGCAATTGACACCTTCCTCTAAAGGGGAGAGAGGGTGGCCCAAAGGAAATTTCGGGAAAAAACTTGGCTGAACCCCTGCTGTAGGAAGTTCAAGCCCTACAACTCTTGCCGAGAGGGCAGTCTTCCTTTGTTCTTTCCTTCTGCACTTGAATTTGACTGTTTACTGGGTATGCGACCTTTGAAAATGTCAGTGCAGCACTAGCAGGTGGAGTATTGGCTCCCTGCAGTGCTGGTATATGTTTCTCTGGAAATAGTTTCTGAGGGTTGGCTATTTCCACATGTAGGTTGACTTGTTGCTGTTTTTAGAAAGCCCCCCTCCCCCATGCTGCCATCTGTACCTTTCCTGCTTTCCAGGTAGACCCCAAGTTCCTGAGGAACATGCGCTTTGCCAAGAAGCACAACAAGAAGGGTCTGAAGAAAATGCAGGCCAACAACGCCAAGGCCATGAGTGCACGTGCTGAGGCTATCAAGACCCTTGTAAAGCCCAAAGAGGTCAAGTCCAAGATCCCAAAGGGCGCCAGCCGCAAGCTTGATCGACTTGCCTACATTGCCCACCCCAAGCTTGGGAAGCGTGCTCGTGCCCGCATTGCCAAGGGTCTCAGGCTCTGCCGGCCAAAGGCCAAGGCCAAGGCTCAAACCAAGGCCCAGGATGCGGCTTCAGCTGCAGGTCCGGCGCAAGCTTCAACTGCAGCTCCAGCTCAGCCTCCAAAAGGTGCCCAGGCCCCCATGAAGTCTCCAGAGTAGAGGCCTCTTTCTGCCAATGTGAGGTCAGAAGGACTGGTGTGACCCCTGGGCTGTTGTCTGCATGGGACCGGTGTCCTGTGTTTGTACAAATAAACCTGAGGCAGGATGTTAGCCTATGTCTTTGATCCCAGGGCTTGGGAGGTGTCGGGGCGGGTGGTGGAGTTGGCGACCTATGTTGGTGTGGGAGAAGACTTTAGCCTTCTAGAGATGGTGGAGTGAGGGTGGGAGTCAGGAAGTGGGGCCCTGGAGTGCAAGGGGGGACCTGGTAAATGAGAAATGGTCAGGGGCCTTTAGGGGGGCTGGGGTGCAAAGCTTGCTGAACTGAGTAAGTTGGTGAGGAAACAAACATCCTTGTTAGGGCTTGAAGTATACTGGGGGCGGGGGGGGGCTTGGTGATGAATTCTGCGCGCTGGCCTAAAGTGTCCCATACTTGGGCTGTGCTAGTACACCTGGCAGGCATCCCCTGCTGTGGGTTTTGCTGGTCCCCCAGGTGCTAGGGACCTGGGAAGGCAGGGAAGTATTGTCACTGTCTTACTACCATGGCTGGGCCTGACCCTATTGTGCTCCTGGGTCCGTTGCTTTTATATGCAGGGTCTTAATCCTCAGGAATTTGTGGAGGCTTCCTGTAGAAGGCACCGGGTGTACACTTCCTGGCTGCATTTAATCCTCAAAACCAGCCTTGGTCCAACTTGGGGCATTTTAGAGATTCAAAAAGGTGTGCTATTAATTATGCCCAATCAGCAAGTGCAGCCCATGGACACATGGTCTCCCTGCTTCTGAAGTAGGGATTATTTTGTTTCCCAGGCTTGGAAACTTGAAGATTATGTTGCCTGGAAAGGGTGGAGGCAGAATTTGAACTCAGGCAGTCCAAGTGGGGCCTTAGACGTTTTAGTTTGCACAACCAGGGCTAGGCTTTTATTTTTTTTTAAAGATGACCAGTAAGGGGATCTTAACCCTTGACTTGGTGTTGTCAGCACCACACTCTCCCAAGTGAGCTAACTGGCCATCCCTATATAGGATCCAAACCCACGGCCTTGGTGTTGCCCTGAGGGCCAGGCTTTTATTTATTTATTTATTTTATTATTATTTTTTTTTTGTCTTTTTTCGTGTCCGGCAACAGACTGCAACCCTCAGTGTCGTGCCCGTACCAGACCGGGACCGGCAACGGGATCGCAACCCTCGGCACTGCGCCCGCCCCTCGCTCAGCCAGTGAGCGGCCGGTCTGTATGTGGGATCTGAACCCTCGGTGGGAGCGCCGCCACGCTTCCCAAGCGGCGCACTGTAGCAGTGCGCCACCGGGCCGGCCCGAGGGCCAGGCTTTTAGCTCTTGACTGTAATCCTGGTATTCTCTGTGGGTGCCCACCTGCCCCTTGCCAAGGGGGGCCAAACGGATGTGTGGGGTCTGGAAAGGGAGCAGGAGCAGGTTTTGCATTCTGAAGGTGGCTTGGCCTGGCCAGAAGTTACCAGGTTGGATGACTTCCAAAGGGAGGCCTGTGTGCTGGTGCCCTGGATGGGACATGAAGACTCTCCTTTCCCCAGTCATCCTGCCATGGGGAAGGAGTGGTCCCTTTAGGGAGCTCCAGTCTGAGGGGGAGGCCAGTCCTCAATTTCAGGATAACCCAGGTCAAGGGCTTCAACTAGGCTTATTTAAGGTCACAGCCAGCTGCTGCCCTCAGTCGGCTTTGTGCTATGGAAGCACAAGTTCCCAGTTCTTGAGTTTCAACTCCATCTCCAAGCTCTGTTGTCTAGGACAAGCTATTCTAGCAGAACTTGTTTCTGCATCTCTAGCGGTACCTGCCTCAAAAGTCTGCTGTGAGGGTTCAGTGAAGATGAAACCACCGAAGTCCTGGATCCTTGTCAACATTGTGAGCAGGGGTTATTACTACTATTAGGATGAATCCTATAAGGTACACCTACGAACTTAAAAAGCCAGCCCTCCCTATTCCCCTGTCCTGTGCTCATGGAGGTCAGGATCTGCTAGAGGAACCGGGCTCAGCTCCTGGGGTCATAGCTGACTCTTGGTACTGCCTTGGGAACTAGCAAGGCTGACAGACTAAAGCCCAACTTCTGTATCCCTCTGCACACACTGATCCGTGATTCCTGGCCAGAGTTCCGGGCAACCTAAGATGAACTGACCTGGTTGTTACCAGGGCCCTTACCCCTCTTTGACCCCTGCCCCCAACACCAGAGCCCGCAGGTTTTGGCAAATGCCAGCAGTCATGCCTTGCCAGTTGTCCCTCTGCCTGCCCCACATCTGGCAGGTGTCCACCTTGCCACATTCTGGTCCTGTCTCAAGATCCCAAGTGTGCCCCTAGAAAGCCAGAAGTGGTTCCCCTACGTCTTGTCTTGATACCCCCTTCGATGGGAATGGTATCCCTGACCTCACAGGTCAGATGCAAATATGGTGGCCACTGAGAACAAGAACTATGGCCCGTTGCTAAGCATAGACATGACTGAGTGGTACTGAGTGGGTATGCTATGTTGAGAGGCACAGAGCAGTGTGGGGTGGTGGGGTGGGGTCTACAGCCAGGCTGTTCCCTTATTTGTGAAATGGGGATGGTAACAGCATATCCCCAGAGAGATAGAATTCTGCACCATGAATGTCCTCCCTGTTAGCCCCTTGCCACACTCAGACTTTATTATTGGGCAGGGGGAAGAGGAGGTCCATGGCACTGTTTGGGATGGAAACTCCAGGGGCAGGGGCTGGGGAGTCCAGGAGCTTAGTTGTCACTGGGCAGGGCAGGTACGCTGGCCAAGGCAGGCAGCAGACGTGTGTATATGTCGACCCCACGGAGGAACACAGCTTCGTGCAGTCGCTCATCATGGTCATGCAGCAGCACAGGTGTGTGGTTCATGGGCGAGAAACCCAGAGCCGGGACCCCCACCTGCAGGGAGCGAGGAGGAGGCATTAGGGGAAAGCCGACATTCAGGCCAGCTCACTGCCCACGCACTGCCATGCCAGAGGCTCACCGCGCGGAGATAACGGCTGTCGGTAGCAGCAGGAAAGACCTCCAGTTCCAGAGTGAGGTTCCTGCAAGGGGAAGAGCCTGGTGCATAGGGAGGGAGATAGGGGAGAGGGCAAGGGAAGAATTGAAGGGGCAAGGAAGAAGGAAGAGGCAGAGAAAGGAGAGGGGGAAGGGAGACTGGGCCGGGGGGTGGAGTGGTGCAATAGGAAGAGAGAGCTGTAGAGAGCTGGGCTGTGTGAGGGGGGCTGGCCAGTGCACTCACATGTCTTTGCAGACCTGGCTAAAAGCTGCCCACCAGGGGTCTGAGTTATCAGTAGGTGTCACTTGGGGCTCTGTCCACTTCTAGGGGAGGGGAAGGATGGCAGGATCAGGACAGGGGCCTGGCTATTTTACCTTATTTTTCAGAGGGTGGGCTGTGCCTGGCACAGGGCACACCGCCACCCCACCCACCCACCTACCCAAACATCCAGGTGGCCAGTGCAGCCACAGGCCCTCTTTCAGTCAGTCCCTCAAATGCCCTAGGTCTGGGACCTTTCCACACCCTCCATCTACTTACCTCCTGCCCATCCTTCAGATCCTAGCCCAAGTGCCCCTTCCTCAAGATGGCTCCCCCAGACCTCTCGGACTGGCCAAATACCCTGACTACAAGCTCTCAGAGTGAGGTCCTGCCCTTTCCTGGACCACATGTGTTCATACTTAGATAAAGGTAATATTATGTGGATATTTTATTATGTCTGTCTCCCCCTTCACACTGTAAGGACCATGAGGGCAAGAACTGTGCCTAATTTCATTCTCCAAAGTGTTTCCCAGCATCCACAATGGCCTGCACACTAATGCTTGTTGAGAGAATAAAATGTGTCTCTCATAGCTATGCAGACACACCAAGCACACACACCTACTCTGCCACACACTTGGCCAGCTCAGTCTCCCCCAACCCCCATACTCCCCCATTCTAGGTCCCAAGTCAATACCTGAGCAAACTCAAAGGTGACACCCTCGCCAGCTGCCTGGCACCAATCCTGCAGCTGCTCCTCGAAAGCCTAAGAGGAAGGAGATGAGCTGACCCCTCAGGCTTTCCCTGAGCCTCTGGGACAGGATTGAAGACCCGGGCTCCCTCCTCCAAACCCAGGTGGAGGTGACACCTTCAGGTCCACATCCGGTGCTACTCGGAAGTCAAAACTGGCGCTCATAGTGGCAGGTACCACGTTATAGGCCACACCACCCTCTAGTTTAGTCAGGTTCACGGAGGTCACAGCCCCCTCCTTCAGGTGGGGGTTTGACTGCAGCCTGCAGTGGGGCAGGGTAGGGGGCCAGGGGCAGGGGTAACAAGCGGGGAGCAACAGATGAAAGAAGGTGGATCAGCCTCCCTCCTCTCTTGCACAGCCTCCCAGAACCACCCCCACCCCGTTCCTAGGCTGCCTCACCTCTGCCTTTCCTTCTCCCGGAATGCCAGGATCGAGCTCACAACTTTGTGCTAGGAGAGTAGGAGGTTAGATATGAAAGTGGCCCTAGGACAGAGCTTCCCGAACTCCCAGCCTCCCTTCCTGTATGCCACGCACCAGCTTCTCTGCTGCTGTGTCCTCAATGAAGCGTGAGCCATGGCCTGGCCTCCCAGTGCTGGTGACCCGCACCCCTGAGGGGACATGGGGGACAGGAGAGGGGCTGGAGACACCATCAGCCCTAGGTTGGACCCAGCTCTCCTCCTCATTCCAAGCTCCTCTAGCAGGGCCCTGTCCCCCTCAGAGCCTGCAGCACAGAGCTGGTGTCTGCCCACAGTCAGAGCTTGCCCTTAGAGAAGTTCAGGAAGGAGAAGCCTAGGTATAAAGGGCTTGGGAGGCAGTGGTCCTGGGTTCATGGCCTACTCAGGCCCCAACCTGTGTGATCCTTTGTAGGCCCTGCCCTTCTGGCCTAGTTCTCCACCTGTAGAGTGACCCCCTCCCACCAAGCCCATACTCACACCAGGGGCTCCGCTCACTATAAAAGACAGTGAAGGCTTTGGTGGGGTTGGCCAGGCCTGAGGAGGAAATGAGGGTTCAAAAGGTGGAGTGGCCTAGTCCCCACCAGTAGCCTCCGTACCCCCTGCCTGGCTGCTTAGCAGCTTGCCAACCTGCTCACCCTCATCCAGGGCGAAGCCAGCCCTCAGGGCCTGGAACTCAGGCCGCTGCACAAACAGCTCCATGCCTTGGTGACCCCCAACCTCCTCATCTGTAAAAGCAGCAGGGATGTGTGATGAGGGGGCTGCCCCCCAAGACACCCTCCCCCTTTCCAAAGTTGACCCCTCCCTGAGCCACGCCTACCAGGCACAAAAGTCATGTGGATGGTTCTGGGGAAACGGTGGCCCTCAGCCTTCAGCCTCCTCACAGCCTCCAGGTACCTAAAGAGGCATAAGCCACGTGCTGGGGAGCCACCAAATGCTCAGGCAGGGAAAGGTAGGGATGGCAAGCTGGAGTCCTGTGTCCTGGACCCTACCCTGTCACAGCCTGACAGGGACTCCAGAAAGTCCCTGCCCCTCTCTGGGCCTCAGTTTCCCCATCCATGCAATGGATAGGGGAAGATATCTCTTGTGGGGGTTGGTCAGTTAGTTCACTCAGAGCGTGGTGCTGATAATACTAAGGTCAAGGATTCGGATCCCTATACCTGCCAGCTTCCAAAAAAACTCAGATATCCCTTGGCCTTGAGGTTCTCCAATCACATCCCCAGGTCCTGGGTCAATCCATTGAGCCAGTGGGGACATTATGGGGGGCTGGGAATGGAGAACACTCACTGGATGCTGACACACTTCATGTCTTGTGCGCCCCTGGCATAGATGTAGCCCTCGGGATCCTTGAAGGCCTCAAAGGGGTCATGATTCCAATGTTCCTGGGAAGAGGGATGGGAAAGGGGTCCAAGCCCCAAATTTAGTCATTAATCCAGTCTGATCAACAGTGGCCCTGCCCTAGGAGTCCACTGTAGGGTTGAATGATGGAGGGGACAGAAAAGGGCTGCAGAAGACAGTTGACTGCCATCCTCCATCTCTGTCTCCTGCCTCCACCCTCACCCTGACACAGAATCGTTGCTGGATGAAGGCTGCTTGAGTACAGTAACACCATGTGGATGTTGAGAGTTAGTGGCAGGACCACCTCCATGGGCTCCCTGAAGTCAGAAACTGAGGTCTGCAGCATGTCTTTCTCAAAGGCCTAACAACCTAACCCACCTCCCAACTCCCACTGTACACACCTTGAAGACAGGCACAACATCCGTGTGCGAGTTGAGCAAAAGGGAGGAGAGTGTGGGGTTGGTGCCTGGCCAGGTCAGCACAGTCACCACATAGCCAGGTGCCACCTGAAGAGAGTCAGGGCAGGAGGTGGTCAGTGCAGAGTGAGGAGGATGCCTGAGGCCCACCTTCCCTCCCGACTCGGGCCTCAGGCTCACCTCCACTTTCTGACAGCTCAGGCCCAGCTGGTGGGCTCTCTCCTCAAGGAAGGCAATGGCAGCCCCTGGGGGCACAGAGAGTCTTGGGGCCGCTTCTGCATACCCATGGCTCCCACCAGCCCAGGCAGCCCAGAGAGGGCAGCAGACCCAGAGATGGGCTGCTGCCTCTCCAACACAATTCCACATCCCTCAGAGACACCTGCGTTTCTGTCCCCAGAGAGATATTTTGGCCAGTATGGAAAGGCCAGGGGGAGGTCCAGGGTCGGAAACAGATGTTATTATTATCTTTCTTGAAGATGGAGAAACTACGGCACAGAGACATGGAGATACTCACCCAACTTCTCTCAGCTGGTAAGTCAGAGCAGGGATTTGGACTCCTAAGGACTGTGGCCTCCGTCCAGCCTCGGCAGGCTTTTGGAGGGCATCTCCTTCCCTTTGGCTCCCCCCCACCGCTCCCGCCCTGGGGAGTGAAGTGAAATTGTTCCTTAACTAGCCATCAGGAATGACTTTTGGAGCAGTACAGCCTCTGGGGAAAGGCTTCCTTCACAGTTTGGAGGGGCTGCTTCAGTCCGTTAACATACAAAGAGAATGGCTGGAGATAGGGCTGGCCGGTTAGCTCAGCTGGTTAGAGCGTAGCCTTATAACCCCAAGGTCACGGATATGGATTCCCCCTACCGGCCGGCCGCCAAAAAAAGAAAAGAAAAAAGAGAGAGAGAATGGCTAGAGGGGCTGAGGAGCCATTTGCGGCAGCAAAGTAGGTGACAGGGGTTGGAGGCTGGTTAAGAGCACAGTCCCCGCCCGTGAGGCCCCATCACAGGCCCTGGAGCCGCTGCGTTCTCACCATAGTCAGGCTCCGGCTGGACGGTGCGGATGCGCAGGTACTGCCGGAAGAGAGTCACGGACGGGTGCTCGCCTTCGAGACTCTGGCTGGTCATGGCGCTGCGCGTGGTGAGCTGGGGGCAAAGTGAATGGCTAACCACCCCTCCCGGCCGCTGGAGCCCGGCGGACTCCACCTGCACACCACGGCGCACACCTTCCAACGGCGGTTTCCCGGACGTCCCATAGGGAGAGGACAGCTGTTTCAGAGCTCCCGTTACGAGCTCCTATTCTGTTTCAGGCGCTGTGCTGGCCGCTTTCAACACATTTCCTTATTGAATCCCAAAGGAGAGCCCCATGAAGTTTGTGCCTCTGAATGCCCACTTTACAGAGGAGAAAGCTGAGGCTCAGAGAGGCTCGGAGACTTCTGGAGAGTAAGCCAGGTTTAAACCCAGATGTTTACTCCCCCCACCCTCAAAAAATTTCTCCCAGTTGTCCAGCTTTAATGCCAGGGAGCCCCAGATCCCTTTGCCCCTCCCCAGGGCCCCCCACCTCGCTCTCTCCTGGTCTTGAGCCCGCGATCGCCTCTCAGCGACTGCCTCAGGGTCCTGCGAGGTCGCAGGCTCAGAACCGTCCGAGTCCGCCCACCACGTGGCCGGAGTCAGCTCGCAGGGCGGAGACTGAGGACTGCGAGTAGGGTCGCCCAGTCCCTGCGGCCGCGTCGGCGCGGGCGCTTCCGTCCGCCTCCCCTAGTACGAACCTCTGGCTGGTTACTGGAGGCGCGGATCCAAGATCCCGCCCCCGGGCAACCGTCCGCGCTGCCAGCTCCGCCCCTTGAGCGCCGAGCTGGCCCCGCCCCATGGGACACGCCCCCATGCCCTGCACTAGGGCCTGGGCCGGGAGCTCGGGATGGTCCCATCCTCGAAGGACGACTCCTCCTTCAGCCTTCGGGTAGGCAGTGCGGCAAAGCCCCTGCCTGTTCCCCGCCCCCTACCCGAAAGTCTCCTACCGCTCCCCATTTCATACCTCAGCCCCTCAGAGAATTCCTTCCTGACTGCCTCAGCTCCTTGTATGGTGAAGTTATTGGTTAATGTCTGTCTGCCCCATGTCGTGAGCTCCAGGAGGCTGGTTCATGTATACGCAGGCTTCTGCCCCTGGCCGGGCACAGAGGGCTCCCGGACAACGCGCCAAGAACGAATAAATGTATGGATGGGAGCACGTGTGACCGAGTGAACGTTCTACTGTATGGACAAATCTAACTCTGTATCAGTGGGTATGACTGTGGTGTGACAACACGAGTGTGAGATGGTGGGTGGTGTGACAGGATGTCATGGTGAGAGGTTGTAATCGTGACGCTGCATGACAGTGTGACAGGTGGGCAAACAGCACACTCTTGGCTGACCCTGTGCCAAAACTTTCTGGCTGTTCTACAACCACCAGAGAAGGAGGATAAACAGAGGGCACAGGTGTCTGACTGGCCACCCGCAGGCTGCACACAGCTGTAGCTGCCCAGTTGTGTGCCTGGCTGCCCTTTGTACTCCCAGTCAGTTCTGTCCTGTGCTCCAGGGGCTGACTCAGCTTGGGGAGGGTCAGGGATCCAAGACTTCAACCTCTGGGCCAAGGAGGGGAGAGGATGGACCCATCCTACCCAACCTGGGGTTTAAGTCTAGGCTGCTTACCCACACATAACAAGGTGGCAAACAGGCTTGGTGGTTCATCAACAATGCTTTGTTAATTCTTAAACCATGTTCCTCACCCCCGCCTCTACATACCCTCCTCCTTAGGCCCTAGGTCCTGCATTCCTGACTCACTCAGCTCAGCTGCCTAGACCCTGAATTTCCCACCAATCCCAGTTGTCATGCAGCAGTAGTAACAGCCCCCGCTCCCATTCCCCAGCCCTGTGCGGCCAAGTGCTCCATTCACAGTCTCATTCAATCCTACAAACACCCTCTGAGTTAGGTATTACCATCATGCCCATTTTACAGATGAGGAAGCTGAGGCACAGAGTGGTAAGGGCAGACAGCTAGAAAGTGGTCCGCTCTTGGCCTTTCCAGGCTGCTGGAACATCCTCTCCAGCTCCCAGCCCCAAAGCAGTCCCACAATTGCCTACCCTCCCACTTCTCCCCAAGAACACCAGGAAATAGGTCACTCCCCAGGAAAGACGAAATGCTTTTTTATTGTGCCTGTGAGATGAAATGAGACGTCCTGGCTGGGCCTGGCCCTCTGACCTCTGCCCTCCATTCCCAGGGGCTGTCTCCCTGGTGGAGGGAGGGCAGTGGTCCAGACCCTCCACGCTCAGGCCAGGCTTGGGGCCAAGGTAGTGTGTTGGTTCAAGGCAGATGATCAAGGAATGCAAGGAGAATGAGGTGGAAGTCTCGTGGCTTGTGGAGGTAGCAGGCATGGCCTGCATTATGTAGCTTCACCACAGAGTGGTTGGGCAGGTGGCGGAGCTGCTGTAGTGACTGTCGAGCCAGGATGCGGTCCAGCTCCCCATACAGGATGAGGGTTGGGGTCTGTAGGGCAAGGAAACGGGCTGTGACCATGGTGTTGATGAGGGTCTGACCCCCAAGACACCTCCTTAAGAAGTCTTCCCCAAACACCCCACCTCTTCAAAATCAGGGATGGGACCATGTCCCTCCAAGTAAGACTGGAGTCCTGACCCTCCATGACCCAAGCCAGGAACAGAGTGCAGGGACCTTTGGAGATCCTTCTTCCAGTACCTTCACGGCCCAGAATTGCTCCTGTGTGTAGTTCTGGGTGGAGGTGGGTGCGATGGGCACAAATCCATGTAGCTGGTGGTGGCCTCGCATTAGGAAGGGCAGGGAATAGTGGCCACTCAGCGAGGGGCTCACCAAAACGGCATTCTGCACCTCCAGGTCCTGCAGCACCCGTTCCAGCAGTTCCGCCCGCCCTGCCTCTGTGCTTGCCTCCTTCGAAGGTGCTGAGTTCCCAAAACCTAGGAACAGCAACAGGCAGCAGCTAAGGGGAACTGGGAAAGCGCCCAGGACTTCCTGCCCGCCACAGTGGAGGAAAGAGATAGAGACCAGTGGCACATGGCACATGCTACCCCAAACTTCCCAGAAGCTACTTTTTGTAACATAATAGGCCTGCTAGAAAAACATCTTTGATTCAGCAGACTGGCCAAACTAAGAAGACCGATTGTGTTGGGGAAGATGTAGAGAAATGGGCATTTTCATACATGACTAATGGGAGGATAAATCCAAACAGCCTTTTTGGAGGGTGAGGTAGTATTTGTCAAAATTTTTAAATGTGTATCCTTTGACCCACTAATTGTCCTTGCACCTTAGAGACAGTGCTGCCCATATGCTCAGAGAAGCATGTCCAAAGATGCTTCAGCTCACTTCAGCTACATTACCCAAGCATTTCAACCGACAGTGAAAATTAAATCAACCCACATGTCCACCAGAAGAGGAATAGCTGAATAAAACCTCTCCATCCCTCCTATAGCACACATTGCAGTGTTAATGATAGAGAGGAGGTTTGCAGGGACTGGCATGATCCATGAGATATGGTGTAGGGGGAGAAAGCCAAGCTGCAGATGGATTCACTAAGCAAGCAGGATACCAATCATGTTTACAACCCCCACCACACAGTCCTGCATATTGTCTGTATCTCCAGGCAGAAAAATGCCCAGAAGAGGGCCTGGCACACCCCCCTGTCCACCACCACACACACACTGCTTACAGAGGGAGAGAAATGTGGCATTTCTCCACATTTCTCCCATCTCCAAGGGCTTCACTGTTTGTTGGGTTTTTTATCTTTTTGTCTTTTTGTCTTTTTCCGTGTCCGGCAACGGATCGCAACCCTCAGTGTTGCCCCCGTACCGGACCGGGGACCGGCAACGGGATTGCAACCCTCGGTGTTGCTCCCGCGCCTCGCTCAGCCAGTGAGCGGGAACCGGTCTGTATGTGGGATCCGAACCCTTGGGCGGGAGTGCCGCCGCGCTTCCCAAGCGGCGCACTTATCCAGTGCGCCACCGGGCCGGCCCGTTGTTGGGTTTTTTAATGACAAGAATAATAGCACAAATCATGTGTGTAGTTAAAAAGCCAAAAAGCTACATAGTTTGTCATAAAAATACAGTGAAATCTCCCCATGAGAGCACTTGTGAAGTGAGTCATGTTTCTGTTTGCTCTGTGACACACAGCAATTCACACTGTAGTTTTTAAGGTAGAAAATAAAAACACAGACTTTTACATGGTGGCATATTGTGTTGTGACCTACCACCGCTTGTTCAAACATTGGGGTCCAGATGCCTCCCAGCCATACCTTAGGGCTTCCCTACTCCCTCAATTCTGCCTTCTGGGAAGATGCCCCCTGATACCTGCTGCCTCCTGCCTCCTGCCTCCCTAGACCCGGGGGTGGGTATGCTCACCTGGAAGGTCAAGGGCTATGGCCCGGTAGCCCCTCTGTGACAGCAGCTGCAGTGTGCCCAGCTGCTCCCATGTGTGGGAGTTAAAGGCCTTTCCATGGAGCAGCACCACCTCCACCCTGTCGGCATACAGGAGAATGTATATCCTGGGGGACTGGGGGGAGCCCACCATTCTTTCTTTCTAGGTTTCTCCCACCACCCTCCCAGGCCATGAGCATCCTGAGTTGAGCTGGGGTCCCACACAGGGACTCCCCTTTGGCCCAGTCCCTTCACTAGACCCTTGGGTTAGCACCCACCTGCGTGCCTGGTGGAGCGGGAGCACCTCACGGTAAAAGATGGGGGAGTTGCCAGGGGTGAGACCAGCCAGGACTGTGACATTGGGGCCTCCCAAGAGCCAGGAAGTCTGCTCAGGGGGGCTTGGCAGCTGCACATACAGTAGTAGCATGAGCAGCAGGCCCAGGCCCAGCAAGGCTACCTGGGACCAGCTCATGGAGGTCTGTATCACAGTCTGGAGGAGAAGAGAGGAGAGGGAAAAGAGGCTGAGACTGAGCCCCACAAGGTCCTCTGGACCCCATCCCAAAACCCAACCCAGAAGTCCCAAAAGAGGAAGAATTCCAACCCTTGCCCCTTCCCTTGCTTTGGGCAAAGGTCTGGGGGTTCACAGCCAACTATTCCACAGGCCAGGGTAAAGGCTCAGATATCAGGCAGTGTGAGGTGGTGCATCTGAGGTGTCCCCCGGCACACAGTATGCTCAGTGACCACCATTATCACTGCCAGCTAAAACCACTTCTGTTCATCAAGTGCTTGTGACAGCAGGCCCTGTGTTTGGCCCTTCACATGCAAGGGCTCACAGGTCCACAAAGAACACTGGGGAGCAGATATGATCACAGGTCTCTTACAGATGAGGAAACAGGCTCAGAGAGGTAAATTCTTTTGCCTAAAGTGCAGAGTAGCAAGTACGAAAACTGGGCTTTGAACCCAGGTCTGGGCTCTTAACCACCAGACCACACTTGGTTTGCCAAGGAGGAAACTGTGGGGCTGGGAGGTGATGGATGAACTGGACGCTTCCTGATGGGCAGGGTGGTGAGGCTATCAAAGGAGAGAGACTATGTGTAAAGGGATCTCTCACTGAAGGCATGTTTGGAAAGGCTTTTTTTTTTTATCACGCTGCTAAAATAAGAATGTGTGTTACAACCAATGGGAAGATTTAATGGTCTATCCCAGCTGTTATTAATGGGCTCACGGAGATCACATCACAGCTTCCTGGTGGAAGAAGTGCTGAGGCATGAGGGGGTGAGGAGCCAGGGAGGAGCATGGTAGAGGGAGAAATGGAAGGGGCATTATGGAGACGGCAGAAGTGAATGCCACCCCACCCCCACCTCCACCCCATACAAACACACAGCTTTACAGACTCCTTCAGTCTGGGGACTTTGCCAGCCATAGGACAGACCTCAGGACCCAAACAGGGTAAGCAGCCCTGGCTTTGAGACTCGGCTCTGCCAGTTCCAGGCTGCATGCCTTCAGTTTGTCAGTAAAATGGGATAACCTCGTGGCTGCCCTCCCAAGCCTCCTATGAGAGTTAAATAATACAGTGGGCTTGACCCGGGGCTGTCCCTGTCATCATTTCTTGGGCATAGGATGAGCGTGACTCCCTCGTTCCGGGATTCGGGTAAACGCGTCTTTATTAAGCACCAACTGAGCCCCGGCCTGAGCTAGGAGCTGGGGACCTATCTCCGGCCCCATCTACCACTCTGGGAAATTTTGGGATGTTTCCCGAGCCCCACAACCTCAGGCTCCGGGGTCTGGCGGTGCATGGGCAGTGGCAGCCCTTCTGGTGCTGTTGGAAAACCAGGAGCCTAGTGAAGGAAGAGTGCACTCCTGTTTTCTTCTAGACCACAAACTGCCTCGGATGCGCGCCTCCAACGCGGCGTTTGCCCAGGTTCCCACCAGGCGGAGCATCCGCGTTGGACCTCTCCTTGTGGTCACGGGAGGGAGGGGCGGAGCTTCGGCAGTTGCCCTGGCAACGCAGGGTGCGGCAGAACTAGACAACTGCAGGGGGCCTGCAGCCCAGTCTGCTCTACAGATGAGGGGCCGGGGAAAGGGGGAAGAGTAAACGTGCCCGCATTATTTCATTGGAATATGCGTCGACAGTGACACACGTGTCACACGCGCACACATACATCTAGTCTTACCCCCATACGCTTTTCTTTTGCACAAGCTATTCCCTGCACGTACACGCTGCCTCTTTGCACACGCACTGGCCCGTGCACTATCAATCCCTTGCAATAATACCTTCTAAATCAAGAGCACAGTCAGGAGTCAGGCAGACAAATGGACACACACTTGCTTTCAAATCCACCTGCAGACCCTCAGAAATACTCAAGCTCACAATCATACATACAACCCTAAAACTACACACACAAGAAACACATGCACAGGCAGATGGCCTGACACACACAGATCCTCAGAAATGCACACACGAACAGACACACAGATAGACACACACCCTCAAAGTCACACGCAAACAGAAATACACACAGTAGTCACACTGACACAAGCAGGCAGACAGACCGACAAACACACTTCCCGATAAAAAGCGCCTGCCCAAGCCGCAGGACTCTTCCGGGTAGCGGGGGCAAGGGGTGGGGCAAGGATGGCCCGCCCCCGGGCAACCTGCCGGCTTCCCACCCTGGGGACACTCACCGGGCCGACCGGGATGACGGGGCTGGCCACCCCGGGGCGGGCTCCGCCCACGCGGAACCAGCAGCCAAACAGCGCCCGGACCATGGCGCTGCCTCGGCAGCTCTGCGGACTGCTCCAGCCCTGGGCGACTACCGGCGCGGCCACGGAGGCGCGCCTGCGCAGTCCGCAGCCGCAGGCTTGGTGCCTAGTTACCAACTAGCCCGAGCGGAGGGGGGCTGGGGGCGGCCCTCCAGAGTACGGAGATCCGCCCCACGTCCAGATTTTCCGGATGTTTTGGGCCTGAGAGCAGGCGGAGAGCCACCCGGCTTCCTTCCACCAACCAGAACATCTTCACTCTCGCTCAGTTCTCGTCTGTACAATGGCGTTAAGGATAAGACGCACCGCACGCACAGGGTTGTCATATGGACTTAGGGACCCGTCAAGCCTCAGAACAGTACCTGGCGCAGAGGCCTCGTTATGTAAATGCCAGATGTCGTTGTTACGCAGCAGCTCCAGGTCTCGGCACGACCACTTGCCTTACTCCTGTACACACACGGTCAGAGCCTGGGGTCACCTCCAGGCCCCTTCACTTCTACTCATGGCACCTATCCTGGTTGGCGATGTGTGACCAAGGTCGGGTTTGTTCCAGGCTTAGGTCTCCGCGGGGCGGCCAGGCTCGGCACAGGCTGGCTGTGCGGAGCGTGGGGTTCACTCCGTGTTGGTCCCCTGTAGAGGCTGGCAACATCCGCGCCCACTCTGAAGGTGGGCAAACAGGCTCGGAGGCGTTGGGAAAACGATCAAGGCAACCTGACTGGACATTGGTGGAGCCTCTCACTCAAACCTGTCGGGTCTTAGCTCCGGGCCAGGCGCATATCCGGTACCAGGCGCGCAACCCGGGCCCTGGCAGTCCTGACTGAGGATAAGGGGAATGGGGAGAGGAGGGGAAGGAAAGGAGCAGCGGGGATGAGATAACGAAGGAACCTTCTTCCTGATTCCCTGCGATGTCCATGTGAGGCAAGTCGCTGAGGGTTTCGGGATGGCGCTCAGCCCTGCGCTTGGAGCACGTGGGTCTGAAGGACTTGGAGAAAATGATGGAGAGGGTTTAGCAGCGCCAACAGATCCTACGGCAACTTGTGGCCACCAGAGAGCGCCCCGGAACACACAGCTCGGCCCCCGCCCCCGGCCCGGCCTCTTCCCTGCTTCCGTCCCCGGGCCCCATCCACCGCCAGCCATCGCCTGCCTCCAGTCTGCGCGAGTCCACGCAGCTCCCCAGGTACCCTCCCTGCGCTCCCGACCTTCTCTTCCTCTCTCCAGTCAGGACCCAGCCTCACCTACCCCAAGTCTTCCCATCTCGGACCCCCAGATCTCCCCATGCGCCCTTCCAGACCCAGCGAGCCCGAACCATGGTCCGCGCCAGAGACGGAGCGAGCCTTGGCGGCACCCGTGACCGCGCGCCTGACGGTGGCGTCAACGCGTTGAGCTCCAGCGAGCAGCGCGCTGGGCGCCCCGCCGCGTCCCTCGCGGGGTGAAACTCCAAAGTCATTCCCCGCTGGGAGCTTTGGTTTCCGCCTCCAGAAAATGGGCTTTTTACCCCAAGTTGGGTTCCTTCTGGCCTGCTGTGCCAACCCACGACCTGTAACAGTGTGTTGCGGAGGTTGAGGTTGATAAGCAAAATAGGTACCTACCGTTGATTCAGCATTACGTGCTAAGCACGGTGCCGAGTGTTTTATATGCTTGGCCTCATTCAATCCTATCAACCACCTATGAGCTAGTACTATTAAATTATACCCATTTGTGGAAAAGGGTAATAACGATGAGAACAATAATCCTAATGGGAGCCCCACGTACTGAATTCTTACCACTGGCAGGCACCCTCACTGTTAATTTTTTTCCTTAAATTCTTAATTCTCGAGGTAGGTAGGCTTTATTGTCTCTATATTTCGGATGAGGAAGCTGAGACCCAAGGTCACACAAAAGTGAATGTTAAGGGGCAGAAATAACAACTATGTCTTCCTGACTCCAAGGCATATTCCTAGAGTTCTGGAAGCCTCCTAGGGTCCTCCTTCCTGTTTGCTCCTTGCAGGATCCCTGCCCTCTCTGTGGCAGCCTCCTCTCTCCACCTGGGCAGGGTGTTCTGTCTTCCCTCATCAGCCTGACTTTGAACTGCAGGCACTTCACCAGCACAGCAGCGGCAGGTATGGCGGGCATGGAGCAGCGTGAGGGCACCATCCAAGTGCAGGGCCAGAACCTCTTCTTCCGAGAGGCACGGCCAGGCAGTGGACAGGCCACTCGCTTCTCTGTGCTGCTGTTGCATGGTATCCGCTTCTCCTCCGAGACCTGGAAGAACCTGGGTACACTGCACAGGCTGGCACAGGCTGGCTACCGGGCCGTGGCCATTGACCTGCCAGGTACTTCCAGGGCAGGTTTCTGGGCAAGGATTGGGGAGGCCTCATCAGGGACCCAGGGCAGGGGACCTAGCCAGGCTGGGCCCTGAGCTTGACAGAGTTTGGTGCACGCTGTGAGGGTCTTTGAGCTTCTCCAGTCTTGACCTAGATGTGGTCCAGACACTATGCAGCTGCTCCTAAGTGCTACCCAGGGCAGTGTCTCAGTGTCTATGAGCCTCTGTTTTCTCATCTATAGTGTGATATAACCACATTCATGTTTGGGGTTGGCTGTAATGAGAATGGAATGAGATTATCCACATGAGTATGTGGTTAAGTACCTGACACATAGCAATTGGTGCTCAGCCAATCGGAAGTAAAATATTTTGATAGATCCATAACCACAGGCTGTTGGAAGCCCTGAGGAGTGAAACTTTTATCTCCAGTGCCTTGGGGAGCAGGGAAGGGCCTCGGGGTGGCTAGGCCCCTAGTCATGATTCCACATGCAAAGCCCTAAGCTGGGCTCTGGGGAAGGTGGGGGCACCCTCATACTGCCTGTCATAACCTGGACTGCCAGGCCCCAGCCCTTGGTGCCAAGTGTAGAAGGGGCAGTATGGCTGATCTGATCCCCTCAGTGGCCAGGGCTGGTATAGTTTCAGGGCTCAAGGGTGAGCCTCCAGCCTGGACAGGATTGGTTCTAACAGTTGGTTGCGCTGAGCTTCAGGGTGAAGGTGGGAAGTGACTGATTGAAGGGGGAGTGCAGAGCCAGCTTCTCAGCCACTGTTTTGGAGGAACCTATCCTGTTCCAATCCAGGGCCAGGTGCCTTTTAAACAATCTTAAGTGGAACATACTTTTGTTATCCTCTTTTAACAGATAGGGAAACTGAACAGCTGGGAGAGGGCTGAAGGGACTTATCCAAGGTCACATAGACATGAAATTGAGAATTGGGACTTGGACCCAGCCCTGTTGGATTTCAGAGTCTGATTCTTTTTAGGACACTGTTACTGCTGGGGAAGATGGGCACAGGCATGGAGGGAGATGCCTCATGCTTGCCACAGATATGATAGATTTAGGCTGCCATAGGAATAATATTGGGTATACTGGGTGTAACAGGAAGCTGGCCACAGAGATTGACATAGGAGGACTTTCTGGAGGAAGGGACCCTCTTTCCCTTGTTTTCCCACTCACTGCCCTTGTCTTGTCTGTCCCACACCTGAATCCCTGCAGGTCTGGGGCACTCCAAGGAAGCAGCAGCCCCTGCCCCTATTGGGGAGCTGGTCCCTGGCAGCTTCCTGGTGGCTGTGGTGGATGCCTTGGAGCTGGGCCCCCTGGTTGTGATCAGTCCATCGTTGAGTGGCATGTACTCCTTGCCCTTCCTCACAGCCCCTGGCTCCCAGCTCCGGGGCTATGTGCCAGTGGCCCCCATCTGTACTGACAAAATCAGTGCTGCCGACTATGCCAGTATAAAGGTACCCTTGTGTGGGAAGCTGAGATGCCTCTGCCAGGAGCAAGGAAGGGTTCATCCCAGACCCTTCCTTATCTGGGGGTTGGGGGTAACCAAGGGATGGCTACAGATTACTGTGCCAAGCCCTGTGCTAAACTGTGTGCTGGAGCAGACACATATCCGTACCTTCACCACTGGGCTAGCTTGTCTCTCCCCTTCATTTGGGGTGGCCCCAGGGAGAGACTGAAGTGGTGGGGAGGGCTTGAGTTGGCTTCCAGGAGACTGGGGCTGATGTGACAGGTCCCTGTTGACTCTGCCCCCCTTTCCTTTCTCTTAGACTCCGGCTCTGATTGTATATGGAGACCAGGACCCCATGGGTCAGACCAGCTTTGAGCACTTGAAGCAGCTGCCCAACCACCGGGTGCTGGTCATGGAGGGGGCGGGGCACCCCTGTTACCTGGACAAACCTGACGAGTGGCATACAGGGTTGCTGGACTTCCTGCAGGGGCTAGCCTAAGGCCCAGGCCTGCTGATGGGGAAGGGCTGCCTGCCTGCCTTGGGATCTCTCTCTCTGTCCCTCCATGGGCCCTTGGCTCATCCTACATGCAACAGGTGTGTCTGTCTATATGTCTCTCTTGGATCTTGTCTTTTGGGATCTGTTTGTCTTTTCTACTTCTTTTTCTTGCCATGACAGACTGTAGGTAAAATCAAGAGAAAACTCAGGAATCAAGGGACATAATCTGGTGGAGAGTAATCCATTAGATGAGCTTCTATACGCTTTCCTGCTTGGCTTTCACTCCTTCCTCTGCTCTGCTCAGCCTCCTCCTCCCACTTCCTCCCTCCAGCTGCCTTGTAGGCCAGTCAGCCAGTCACCCACTGCACCCCTCACACACACTCCCTGTCCCTCTTAGGCCACAGGTACATAACATGCTCACATGCATGCTTACACATTTAGAGCCAGCTATGACCCTTCACTTGGGAGCAATCACATAGGTACATGGAACTCTGGACTGACATGCACATTGTCATGTGTAGCTTTGCATTGCAGGCATATACACACGTGCATTCATGTGCCTCCATACAAGCACTTGCACAAGTACATGTGCACTTCTAATTATGCAGCACCTCCCTGGGAAGGCGGGGACCCCATGGGTCAGCCCTTGCAGGAGACCCTCTTGCCAGGCTTAGGAACTCCACTCACTCACAGATTACAGCCGGCCCCAGCCCAGAATGGCCCCCCAGAGGGGAGGGCCACCCCTTTGCCGTTCAGATCTCCCTGCTTTTTCCCTTCCTTCTGGGTTCTCCATGCCTCCCCAGCTTATCAGACCTGGGTCTTCTCAGCCAAGCTTCTTTCCTGCTCTGAGGTTCGGGGGGGGGTGGGGAGACAGAGTGGATGGAGGTCGGTGAAATAAAGCAATGCAATTAGACCCTACAGGCGCTAGCTGTCTCCAGAGCGCCGCCCCTCCCCCACCCCATGGGACCGCCCCGGTGGGCCCCTCCCCCATCCTGGCGGGACCAGATGGTTCCCCCTGCCCTTTGTCCACCAGGCCAGATGGAGGGGAAGGGAGATTGGATTCCCCTCCCCACCCACACACACATCCAGGTGCCAAGAGACTCAGCTGTGGGGGGAGGTGGAGGTCAGTGGGACCAGGCTGAGCCGATTACCGCGGAGAGGGGGAGGAATATTTGCTCCCCAGGAGGCGGGGGACTTGGGAACAGCTCAGCTCCTCCCCCACTCATCCCTTCCCTAGTAAAGGACTCGAAGGCGTCTCGTCTCTTGCGACCCTAGCCCAAACAGGAATTCTGGGGGTAGATTTGGGGGAATCATGGGGCGGGGTGCACAAGGGCCACAGGCTCAGGCCCCTCCTCCAGCTGGTCTGGTAACCTGTCCTGCGCGGACAAGGGCCGGGCCGCGCGGAAGCTGCGGGTGGTTGAGGGGAGCGGGGCTTGGTGGGCGAGATCCCGGAGGAGAAGCGAGGAGAGCCCGGAGCGGGGAGGGTCGAAGTCCGAGCTTTGAGGGACCCGAGCAGGGAGATAGGCGGAGCCGGGCGGCGCGGGGACTGGCGGCGGGGCCGGGGCCGAGATGGGGGGTGCAGGGGGCTCGGCAGAGGCGCCAGGCGGGCGGCCTGGGCCGGAAAGACTAATCGGGCGGGAGTGGAGAGGCTCGGAGCCGGGCGCAGCACGGAGAGCACCGTGGCTGGGGGCCGCGCTTCATGCCGGAACCCCCTGACCCTACTCCCGGGGGCTCTGGGAGCTGCAGGGGAAGGGTCGCCCGAGCCCTCTCGGAAGCGGCCGCCTCTCGGGGCGCACCGCGGCGCGCGGGGCGGGGCGGGC